AAAGGTGTTTAAGTTGTAATAAAAAACATGCCCTCTCTCATCAGTGCTCTCACTCCCTTAACGTAACAGGGTATGATGAATACAGAGATGCAGATGCACATCTGAGAACTGGAGGGAAGGATTACACAAAGATAACTTACTCCAAATATTCTTAGAGTAAATCAGTATAGCAGAAGTCACTATACTGACACAAGTACTTGCTAGTAAATTTAGAAGCAAGTATTTACTTTTACTCGAAATTTATAAACACAATCGAGCATAACAACCCTAAAACATGAAATAGATTGTTTCTTCTAATTGATAAACATTATTACTATTCATGCATATCATTTGATCACCCCATACAATGTTTTATCAGACCTTCTCATATCACATGTTAAAAAAACATAACAGCATTATCTTAATTTGTTGATGTTCAGATAAATACATAGCACTAGTAAAGAAACAAGGGTAAAGAAAGAAGAAGCTAACTTGCTACTGACAGAATCCACAAAAGAGTCTAGATTTGAATCAACTGAGCAAATGTTTATAGAAAGCCTACAGCTGACTACACACCTCCCCCCCTCGCCCCTGGCTTTTAGAAAGGTGGAAAAATTAATACAGAAACCTCTCAAATCAGATCATAAGTACAACTGAATATGAAGTACTGTGAGGATTTAGAATAGGGAAAGATAATCTGGTTATGGGGGAATACAGACAGGACTCACAGAAATGCCTGTGTCTCCCTGTCATTCTTTCATTTCTAAAAAGATTATGTTCACTTGAAAAAAACCAGAAATATACAAAAACAAAAGGAAACATGACACCAAATATTACCACTTTCCTTCCTCTGGCTCAGTAAGTCTATCCTCCAGAAATAAAATATCTTAATTTTTGAAATTTTTTAACACTAGATATATATTTTTAAAACAGTAAAAATCAGAGTGGTGATTTAAAGGAGGACAACACATATTACTGTATAACTTGTTTGTTTAATTTACTATCTTGGTATAAGATGGCATATGAAAAGAAAAGGCACTCTCTCTTTGAGATGCCCAAGGCAATGGTGACCTTAATGGACATCCTTGCAAACCCTCTGATAGAATTTCTCAGCGGGAAAATAATTGAGAAGGTTCTCATGTAAGAACTTAGAAGGCTACACGTGGTCTGTCTAGATCCACGCTCTTAAATGCAGTAGTCACTAGACACATTTGGCTATTTACATTTAAGTTAATTAAAATTAAAAGTTCAGTTCCTTAGTCACAATAGCCACATTTCAAGATCTCACTCAATGGCCACATGTAGCTAGTGACCACCGTATTGGACATCACAGATACATAACATATCCGTCACTGCAGAAAGTTCTATGGGACAACACTCACAGTAAATAAACCTGGTATTTTTATTTCACCTGGCTAGAGAATGGATTGGTCACAAAGACTGCATGGGTAACTAATGAAGAATAAAGATGAAAGTCACCCAAATCTGGAAGGCTCCCTCAGTGCCAACGTGAACCACACTTAGTTGGCACTCATCACTCTGAACCAGAATGCTTCCCATATGTGAAAAGAGATGCCTGACGGCTGATGGACTCATGACCTCCCAGAAACCATTCACTTGGTGGCTGCTTATCGCTTATATTCTTCACTCACGATTAGTAAAATCTGGCTAATTCTACCAATGTACATATGTTGCATATGTCACAAGTCATAATCTTGTGCTGTATCTCAAGTTAAGATCTATGATTCCAGAATAGCACTCAATTTAACACAACTGAATAGTATGGATGTACTATAATTTATTTAATCATAAATCTACTGATAGATATTTAGGCTGCTTCAAGTGTTTTGCTTGTACAAATACCACTGCAGTGAATGCTCATGTGCATAAATCTTTTACACATACATTTTATACAGATTATTATTCTGTAGGACAGAATGCTGGAAGTGGTTTTGCTGAGTCATAAGGTTGTGAACATTTGTAACTTTAATAGATACAGCAAACTACCTTTCTAAAGAGCTGTACCAATGTGTTCTCTCTCTAATAGTATAATAAAGCCCCTTTTATCCAGACTATTTCCATCATTGCATATTATGTCTTATTAATTTTTGCCGATATGTTTTTTACTTGCTTTTCCTTCAGCATTAGTGAGGACAAGATCTAGTTACATGTTAATTGGCTCTTTGAAGATCCATAAATTGTCTTTTCATGGCTTTTTTATATGCTTTTCCATTTTATTTATTAACTTTACAAGATAGTATGTCTTCTGCTGATTGATCGGTAGGAAGTATTGGTTTACTTGTGCTACTTTGTGTTTTATGTGCTGCAAACATCTGTCCTCTTCAACATCCACCCCTTTCCCCTGCCACCCAATTCTCCTCACCACTTCTGCCTTTTAACCTGGTTTAAGACACCTTTTGCCATCCATTAAGTTTTTATGTCATCAAATATGTCGTTCTTCTCATTTATGACTTCTGGGTTCTAAAACCTAAGTCTTCCTTATGAAGTTGTTTCTTCATTCTAAGATTATAAACATAGCTTTCTGTATTTTCTTTTAAACTTTTAATATTTTTTTACATATAAAACTATCATCTATCTGGAATTTATTTCTGCATATGGTGAGAGGTAATGCTCCAACTTAATTTTCTCACAAATAGGTAGTCAATTGTTTCAGTATCATTTAGGGGAAAAAATTATCTTTACTCCACTGATTTGAAATGTCACATTTATCAAGTATTAATATCTTATAAGTATTTTAATCTGTTTCTGGGTTATCTATTTTGCTTTAATTACCAATTTAGCTAAACTCTTCTATCTTCTAGGTTACAAAAAGTACAAGGACTTGAAAAGATTCAGGGTTCCAATTCCACGAAGAGGTCCTTATTTTAATGAATAAGGCCACAGTTAGTGACTTGACAAACAGGAGTACTGGGCTTACAGTATGTTTTCAATCTACTTCTGTTACCAGCTTTGTTACACCCTCCTCAACAGCAGCACAGTGTTTGGCACATGACAGGACACTAAGTTGTCCTTTGTTGAATGAGTTAATGCTTAATAATGAGTTCAGTTTACTCAGAGGAAAGTACGTAACTTCAAAGTCATTATTTGATCGCTGTCAACTTTCAGCTTACTAGTAATAAATCCTAGAAAGGGGAAGTAATAGTTTGCACTATTTAGGAATACAACAGCTTCACTAAAGCTACTAAAATAGTACATCTCCCCCCAGATAATGTTGCAATGCATCTATGGGCCCCTCGGGCTGCTGGCCACTCCCCTCTCCTACTCTCTGAGATGTTGTACTGTCTCTGAAAATCTCCAAAGCCCCTCCCCATTGGAGGAGAACCTTCACATCTTCCCACCACAATGCCACAGACTCTACCTTCCCTCCTATTAGAATAAGTGCTCCTGGTAGGACAAACCTTCCCAGCTTACTTACTTCGAGGATTTTCTATCACCTCTCTTTTCTGTACCATTCCTCTCTTCTAGATCATTCTCATCAGCAACTAACAAGTGTAAATAGCTTCATCTTAAAACAAAACAAAAATAAAAACACCTTGTCCTCAACCCACATACCTCTCCAGCTAACACCACATTTAACTTTCCCCTCTATAGCAAAATTCCTTGAAAAAGTGCTTGGACTAGCTGTGCTTTTTCCCATTTCTTAAACCTACTCCATTCAAGTTTTACTCCCCACCATTCCCCTGAATTTGTTATGATTAGGTAACCATTAACCTCCAAGTTGTCAAAAACAACAGTCAGGTCTTGGTGTTCATCTTATAACTCCTATCAGCAACATCTGACTCAGTTGATCACTCCAACCCTGAAATAATTTCTTTACTTGGTCTCAAGGACCCCAAGTTCCCATGGTTTTTCATACTTTACTGGCTGCTCCTTCTTAGTCCCCTTAGATTAATCCCTCCACCCCATCTCTCTGATTTCTATACATAGAAGTGGCCCAGGGCTCAGTCCTCAAAACTCTTCTCTTTTCTAACCACACTTACTCTCTAGGTAATCTCATCTAGCCCCAAGACTTAAATATCCTAGTGACCCTTAAATTTTGTATCTCCATATGCAACCTTAGCTCTGAACTAAAAAACTCATATATACACCTACACACTCAATATCTTCAGTTGGATGTCTAACCAATATATCAACCTTAGCAGGTCCAAAACCAAAATCAAAGTAAAACAAAACAACAGGAACAACAAAGCCCTGCTCTTTCTCCAGCATCCACCCATTCAGTTACCACCCTAGCTAAGCAACTATTAGCTCTTGCCTCAGTTACTCGAAAAACCTACCTGGTCTCTACTTCTGTTCTGCCACATTCCCTCTCCCCTAGTTCTATTCTTCACAAGTAGCTCTCATGAACCTTCTAAATTATAAACCAGACTATGTAACTCCTCTGCTCAAAATTTTCTAGTGGTTTTTCATTACTTGGAATAAAACCCAAAGACTGTCCATGGCCTGTAAAGTTGTGATCTGACCCCTGATTATCTATCCAACTGTCACCTCCACATCACTCACTCTTAACCAGCACAAACCAACTATCCTGTACATAAGGAAATAAATGGTGTCTCCTGTCTCATGGATACATCAAGCTGACTTCTACCCGAGGGCCTCTGTATCTGCTCTTCCCTCTGTCTGATGCATTGTACCTACAGATGTCTGCATAGTAATTTTCTCATTTCATTTAGGTCACCTTCTCTCAATTTTTTAAACCTGATTTATTTTTCTTCATAGTACTTAATACTACCTTACATTCCAGTATATATTGGTTTATTGTCAAACACCTTAACTAGAATATAAGCTCTATGAGACCATGGAATCTTTTTTTAATCTACTTGTTTATTCTCAGAAGCTAGAACAGTGCCTGAAACATAGTAGATACACAATAAATATTTGTTGAGGAAATGAGTAAGCAGATGAGCACTTATATAGTTTGATTATGAATGTGGCTTAATGATCCTAGCTTAATACATAATCCAAAAGAGCAAACCTGTTTTTGGATATTCATTACTCACTTTTCGTTGTTTTACAGAGTCCAATTTTATGAGCCAATATGAAGCCACTTTTGCTTTATGATACTTCCAGTTATCAATCATCTGTTTTGGAGGAGAAACATTAAGAAATTTAATCTAATTAATTTGTGAAATGAAAGCACTATAATACTATTTGCAATAAAGAATGTCTACTTTCATAAAAAGACATGCGAGAAGACTTTTAATGTAAGATAAAGAAGCCATCTGAATTTAAAGCTTTTCTCTTTTTGCTGTAAAAAAAGCACACAATCTCTAATGGTTGAAAGTCAAATGTCTTCAGGAATATAAGGTTTGGGAAGAAGCCCAAAACATAGATTTTTCATTTTAATTCCAAGAACTGTATTTACAACATCATTCACAGTAACAAAATATTGAATAACACATTAGAAGATAGCCTATATTTAATTAGGATTCCATTATGCCCCTGTTTTGTTTTTTGTGCAAATCTGCAAAATTTCTGAATATATATTCTAGTTATATATATTATAATAAATAGATAAAAATAGTTGCTGCATAAGTAAACATATAGTAAATAATCTAATGTCTTGTATAATTATTAATATCTTTTATCAGTTATATAAGCCTATATCCACGTTTTTTATAGAACAATCATAGTAGCCACAAATATTAGTTCTACTCTCAGATTATCTAATTTTTCATCTAGCTGATTCAGAAAGGTATTACATAACTTATATCTCTAAGATATAGAAATAAAATGTCTGGTACAAAGACGTCCTACTTTATTGAATAAAATAACATATGTAAATAAAAATATATCTAGCATAATGCTTTATAACTAATGTTCATTATTCTTCCTTTTCCCCTGATGTAACAAATAGCACTTCATTTGCAAACAAGATACCATTTCACTTTTTAAAAAATATATAACAAATGAAACGCATAATATATTTGGGGATTTTGGTTATAACTATGTTATGACTACAAAATACAAATTGCCATTATTGATTTGTTAACTAAGAAAGTCTTTTTTATTATTGTTTTTTGTTTGTTTTGTTTCTAGACAGCGCTTTTAGACAGGCCTAAAGTAAAGCTAAAAAGTGAAAAAAGCCAAATGTATGGCTGTGGTTTTTATGGCCTACAACTGGCCACTAGATGGTGCCTTCTCCTCTGGATTAAAAAACAAAAAACAAAAAAAACAGGGAAACCAGAAAACAACGTTCTATTCTGAGGAATTATCTAAGAAGGACAATTTGAGAAGAATTCTTGAATGAAGAAATAGAACTCTGAGTGAAGAAATGCTCTTTCACCAAAAATATTCGAATACCTTGGACTTTCTTTCTAAATTAGGAGTAAGTCATTGACTTTAATGTGAATTTTAGGACTCTGACATTTTAGAACGTTCCACTGGGTGGTGCAAATGCTTGTGTAACAAGAAAAACACACACAACATAAGCCATTTCAAAATCTGACTAACACCATGCAAGGTGTCACATTCAAATATTCTGGACACTTTATGCCCATGGCCCCACTTTTTTCCTTATTATCTCATTCCATAATAGATCTTTCTAAATCGTTACAGAAGCAGGCTTAACTTGATGTGTCTTTAATCATTAAGAACAATAATTATTTAACACTAATTATTTTCACTTGATGAAGCATCATTAAAATAGGACTATACACTAAAAGATATTTTGCATTGCTGATTATAAATGTGATTTCATTGCTCGTGAATCATAACGATTAAAATAACCCCTGTATCTTCTAAAGCTTGTGGAGGTTGAAAAGAACATCAATTAAGTTTACTATGTCATTGAGGATAATGCCATCAAGCAATAAATTTTAATATTTTAAGAAGAAGAATAAAAAGGCATGAGGTCCTTGGTATTTTATATACATCAAATACTCACATCTTCTATCAGAAGTAATGATTCTGCATCTGATTTTCCTGGAAACCGAATCTTCATGTCCTTGAGAACAAATAAGGTCTGACTTGTTAGATCGTCTTCTTGTTCTTTTGGTCTCAGTTGCCGCAAAGACTCACTCTTAAATTTGAAAGAATACAGATATTTGGAGGGGGTCTTATTTCATTGTGCCACTATAATCTGAAAGATATTTCTAGGTAAAAATGATGCACTTTTAATTGACAAAATAACAATAAAAAAGGAAGAAAATAATGTTTTTACATTTATTCTTAGCATTAAAATCTTAGCATTAAAAGGGTATGATTTCCCAAGAGTATCTTTCACACTTCCACACAGTTGTATTTTATGTAGCTCAAAATACTAAAACAAAAATACAAGTGTTTAAAAAAGACTTCCTGGTCAGTTTCATTTTCTACATATACCTTAGGCAATTCTTGATTAGAAAAAAAAGCATTCATTGTTACCCAGTGAAATTCATTCACTTATATTCTTCAGACTCTTCCCTCTGGAAGCAACTTCCACATTAAATAAACAAATTAAATAAGTCCCTGGTCTATGTGAAGGTACATGGAGATATCTATTTGAGCATTTATAAAACTAATACTATATGTTAACAACACACAGGAAACATTATAAACAATGCCGTACTTCAGTGCTCTAAGGCTAATTTACCAATAGTTTATTTTTTAAAACTATTAATCAATAGTCCTATTAAGGAAAATTTTCCATACAACAAATTTCCCCAAATTTACAGATATACTGTACAGTACACTGGAAAATCACATATTTACTCAGATGATTTTCAACAAAATTATCCTACTCCATCAGCAAATGGAAAATAAAATACTATTCTCAGTGTTCATCCTCAAGTTCTGTGATACAGTGAAGTCTGCCTTTTAAGAGTCCATACTCAATTATAGGTGAAGAAAGATGAATAAATGCAAATTCCAGGAGGCCATGAGTTGAATTTTAGAAAGGATCTGAAGTTCAATCTGTCCTCCTTCCAACTAATCTCTTTGCCACTTAAATCCTAAATACAGCGCTAATCTCAGGGGAGCAAAACAGAAGACTTACCATCGGAGAGTCGGTAGAGCTGCAATCATTTCTTTGAGGCGGATGCCCCACGTAGGAGGAAGCACGGTTTAAAGAATGTGACCGAGACCCTGAAGCTGACCGGGATGATGATATCACTTGTTGAGCAGAAAAGGGGCGGTTGTCTGCACTGGATGGTGATTGAGAAGAGATGGACCGAGGGCAACTGACTGAACGCCTTATGGAGCCTATGGATGATGGAGAGGAGGGATCGCACAGTAGCAGAGTTATTAGAAGTTTTCCACTGTATTGGATCTATACAAAGTAATAATTAGCAGGGTGGCAGTAAATGTCAAAGCATAGGCATCATCATGAGAATATGAGTTTGGAGTTAATTCTTCAATTTAAGCAGTGAACTTGGTGCAGAACCCCTGTCATGTGTAAAGAATGGCTATCATGAGAATAATACTTATACAGTACTTTAATGTTCTAGTCTCAAAACATGACATAAAAGGAACAAAAGAAAGGAACGCTAACATGTATGGAGCTCCTTCTATAAACCAGGCATCATGCTAGGTGCTTCACTTTTATTTTTGTTCTCACAGAAACCCTCTGAAGTACAAATCTCCATCACCTGGAGACTCAGAGAAAGAAATTTCTCAAGGTCACATGACAAGAAAGTTACCAAGTTCAGATTTAAATCCTGACTTAATGGCAGCAGCCTCCCTCTTTCTATGACGTCATGATGCCACCTACTATCTTCAGACTAGACTGGTCGCTCATCAGAATCTGTGTAGAGGTTAGAAATAGAATATTTTACAACAGGATTCATAGGGGGAAATGGATAGGAGTCTATATAATGGCCAGGATAAGTGGATGTTATAAAATTTAGGGCCCATGAGAATAAAATAATGATAATAAAACAGAAGAAAAACAAAGATTATCCTAATGAAGTTTAAATATGTAACTGGTTATTATAAGAGTAGTACTAGACAGATAAGTCTTCTTATTCACAGGACAGAAGAATTTTAAAAATTAGATTTACATTCCTATAGTAAAAGATTTAAGTGAAGAAAAATGTCTGGATCAAAAGGGTTGTTATCAGAACAACTAGGGAAAACCACAGAACATCTTCCTCAGGGCATATTGAGAACATTTAAAAAAGAGAACCAACTATTCCAGGTAAATTTTAATTCCTGACACAGAGAAATAGAATATCACTCAATATTATCAACATTTATATCTTTTTTAATACATATATTCTATATACCCTCTGTTGTATATATTCTCTCTCGACTTGGGAAATATATCAATCACTCTTCATTAATTAAATAATTTAATAAAACTCACATGAAGGCAGGATGAATACCCAAATATTTCTCTTCATTAGCTGTTGAAAAAAATTTAAACCTTTATAAAGGCAATGGACATGAACCTTATGTTTAGGGAAGTATTTCTAAAGAATATTTTGAATTGATGATAAGTCTAATAGTCCTCTTTTGGTTCTGGAGAGGACCAAAAAAGTATACTCATTCAAGCTATAAAAGATGTTAAAAAAAAAAAAAAAACCTTCCATTTGTTCCAACCTCCTTCTGAACCTGAAAGTCACACTATTTTTTTAAAGAACGGTGCTTCTAAAAAGGGCTGTGTGGGGTACATAACACTCGTCAATCCTCTACTAAGAAATACCCATAAGCATGTACTAATACCTACACCTTGGCCCTGCTCTCTTCAAGGGCTTACAGTGATGGGTTTGGACATATATAATCTGATCATAGCTGCAGAAAGAAATATCCTTTCTCTTGAGTCACCAGAGATTTCCATTTTTTCTTCTGCATACACTAGAATTCAGACAGAATAACTAAATAGCTAGACATGCCAATGATACTTAGGTAGATTAACAATAAATGGTTGAAACTTGCATACACAAATTATCTGAGAAAAAAATACTTCATATAGTTTTGTGTAGGACTACCATATATCAAATCTAAATATATCCTTTGGTACTGTAACAATTCTAAATTGCCTAAATTAACTATCTACAACAGAAAGCATTGTACATAATCTGGATTTTTGTCCTCGGTTATCAACATCCCTTTGTAGAGAAAACTCAAGGAGTGTTTGTGGCTAAAATATTCCTTAGTGTAAGATTAAAGAGGGAATATAAAACAAATTGAAACCCTTGCTGCAATTCTTAATGACTATAAAAACAAATAACCAATAAGGAAAAAGATATTAATTGAAATAGACTAGCTATAAAGTGTGAATTTATGCTTAAAAACATTTCTAGTACACTCTTTGTCTGATCTCAATTTATTAACCTATTGGTCTGAGAAGAAAGAAGAATCTCAGAGCTATAGGAGCCCTAGCAATTTTTTCTCACCACTACCCTTATCCTCTGTCACTTCCTGCTGTTAAGGATACACACATTAGCCAATAGAAAAGGGGCTCCAAAACTGACAAGATCTGGGCAGAACAATGTCAGCTTCCAAAAGAGAAACAGAGTCATATTTACACAGAGATGCACTGAAAGTACTTAAGGAGCTTTTAAGAAAAAGGGAAATAATAGATAAAATAGCTTACAAACTCTGGAACAGATGCTCAATAAACATATATTAAAGGAGTAAATAAACAAATGAAATGGAACATAATACGTTATTTCCCCTCCAAACACATAAGCCCTCAAAGACAGGAACTTTAGCACGTATCTTTATGGAATAATTTGGAAGTAAAAGAAAGACCATTGAAAACCTTCAACTATTAGGTCTGCATTCCTTATGCATTTTCTCATAAGTCTGGAAGGCCAGGTTTAAAACATACATATTATCAGGTAACTATTAAACCATTGCTGGAGATAGAGCAACAAAGGCTCAGAAATGTGTTTATTGCGTGATTGGACCGGTCCCTTTGTGGAGCCCTAGGATGAGGGAGGACAAGGCAAACAGCGAGATGAGAAACAGAGGTTAAGAAAAGTCCTGCTTTGGACGCAGCATCAGGAAGGGGTATCCGACTGAGCCTAGGCAACAGCAGTACCACACTGGACATCTGGGGATGAAAGACGAATAACAGACACAATAGTGGACATTTGGGATCGAAGAAGGAATGAAAGACAGGAGAATGGAAGAGAGAGAAAATGGGAAAAGGAATAAAAGAGGAAAGAGGAAAAAGGCAGCAGGAAAGGAAGGAGACAGAGAAGCTGGTTGGTTCCTCTCCTGAATACTTCCTTCCTATACACCGAAGCCCTGACTGAAGTGCTTACCCGTGACGAAAATGGGAGGGAACAAAACTTCTAACTCACAATTGTGTGGCTCACAGATACAGTCAAGTCAAATGCCTAGGGAGATACACACATTTTTAAAAACAGGCGAGAATATGAAACAAAATGAGTGCCAGAGTGGGGAATGCAATGAGAGAATATTTGGGCTTAAAAGAGAATGCAGTCATCAGATCAACCATGAGGCACATTTTACACAATTCATGCAGAAATCTAGGACTTAACAAAAACTTTGAAATATAGAAGAATGGACTGTAGAGATCCTTAAGTCAACTCTTTGGTTTTCTATTTGCAGACCCCGAAAAGGGTTGTGGGATCCAGACCTAATCAAGGTCTGGTTGGAGAAGGAAGTGGGATAGAATCCAGGTCTCCTCACACACAAGGGTTCGTTTGGCCCAAGGTCTTTTTATTGAGTTCAGTAATTTCAGTTCCATAATTTGTCACATAACAACTAAATTAGAAGAAATTAACTTACTGGATGGTTGGATTAATCTGTAGTGGTTGGACTGTTTAAGATTATATGTAACTTGCTTTTCTCTTTTCTTATTTTGGTACTCTTCTTTTTCATTTTCTTCTGATTCTGAAGAGCTGCTGCTACTACCACAGCTGCTGTCACTGCTGTAGTACTTCTGTCTTTTTGTTATCTCGGTACTCTCGGGCATGGAAGACAGAGGCTAAAATGGAAGGAAATGTGATATTTTGTTAGAATTCAGAAAGGCTCATTCACATGACTACTTACTATTTTTAATTTCTCACTTACGATTACTGCTTTTCACTTAAGTCTGAAAAATCCCCCCGAAGTACTACTGCTCTAATGCTATCCACTAATTGTTCTGTTTCTATGAAATATTCTTTCTTAAATAATACAGTTCAGTCATGATGAGGAAAATGCCGTTTATGCACGATTCAAATAAAGGACCAAAATATCCACAAAGAATAACAAAATAAAGAAAAAACATTTGAGCTAAAAACATAAAAATCAAACATAGCTTTTCTTCATTCCATGCAGAATGATTACTCATTACTCATCAAGACTCAGAGGTATACCTCTGTTGTATCCCTAATGTTCAAAATCACTCAACAAATGTGTATTTGTGTGTGTGTGTATGTGCACTTGTGTGTGTGTGAGAGAGAGAGAGAGAGAGAGGAGAGAAGAAGGGGAAGGAGGGGCAAGAGAGGCAAAAGTAAAATAAAATAAGGAAGCAGAAGCCAGATAAACCACTATAAGTAAAATAATCCACTATCAATAAAGTAGGTCATATCTTAAAACAGAGCCTATGAGCCTATGATACACTCAGATAATATGCAACAAGAAGCAAGGCATTCCTCACATGTCTAATTTCTCTTTGGACATTTTTAGAAATAAAAATTTTTAGTTAATTATCCACTTTCCAAATTGGCCATGCACAAACTCACAGCTTTGCTTGGAGGATTTCTACCTCTGTTACATAGGATCTGGACATAATGGAGCAACATTACTTTTCATTGCCCACACTACATTTTTAAAAAGGGATATAATGTAAAAATCAGTATGGCATAAATTTTTTAGAGGATAAGTGCCATGTAGAAGGGTAAATCTGTAAAGATTTTAAATGCCAGGCTATCATGTTCCAATAATATCTCCATCAGAATCACTTGTCTCTGAATCTCCCAATCAATGTGTTTCCAATGATGCCAGCTGAAGGAATAAAAGATAAGTGGGACATCTTCACTTCAGAAAGAATGTGCACAACCAAGAGCACAACAGTTTTGTAACTTAGTCATTTTAAGAGACAATTACACATGCCACATGCCTCTTATTTCCTGGGGAAGGTTCCTGCAGTTGTATACTAGTTTCTTGTTCTCTGTTAAATCAAACAAAAATGCTTTGATGTTAGCATATACCATAATGAAATCCTGGGTTACCCTGAGATTTCACTGAAATAAGGTATATCCTCTCATGTAACAGTGTAGGATGAAAGATAAAGAAAGAAATAACATTTCACGAAGTGCCTGGAATACATAGTAAGCCAAAGCATGATGTTCTTAAAGTTACTGTCTTAGCAGAGGATGAAAAATAACCAAAGCGGGGAAGTAGTTTAATACACTAAGGTACCAACTTGTGTTTAAAAATATGTTCTCCTTTTGATAGTCTTAATATTTACTGAGCACTAACAATGTTCAAAGAGATATGCATAAAAACATTTACCAGTAACACAATCATCAAACATTTTGATAGTCTTAGGGAATATGAATTCTAGAGGAAGGATGTTTCTTCAGAAGTCTAGCGTACCCAGAAGAAACAGTGGCACAATCAGGCTTGCTAGTAGTGCCTTCCTTCAAGTAGGCAAACAGCTTTAAAGTTTCTTAAGGAGCTTGACTACATAATGAGTTACTCGATCCTATAAAGAATCACAAAGGGAAACGGATAGTTGAACCTTTGTGTCATATATGCATTTGGGATTTGTTAACCAATACACTGTTAAAGCAATAAGTAATAAGAAGTCACAGCAACATAAACTCCAAACAGTGCCGTAACTACAAATTGGAATTTGTAAACCGGCGCTGAGTTCTGACACAAACCATACCATTTATTTTTATGTCCAATTGTATTATGAACTGGCTCATATATTAAAATATATATAAATGGCATAAAGAATAATAAATACTAAGTACCTAGCACTTGGCTGAAGAACAATGCTAATACTTTACGTGATATTATTTACATAGCTAATTAATACTTCTTAGATTCTCAAATAAGTGAAAAGTTATTTCTCCCAAGTTCAATTTAACCTTGATAACCTTCAATTATTCTACCAGTAAAGACACTGGAAATCAGTGTTTGACATGTGATAACAACCCTCTAAAAAGGAAAGGCTGCTTTGAAGTTTGGCTCACTCCAGACCCTCAGTATACCTAAGGTTAGAAGTTATAAAAATAATTTTACTTTTTTTACTTTTTACCTTTTTACTGATTATGCAGTTTTCAACACTTCAAAACATTTCTGGTGTTAATAACTATAGGAACTAACCAATTCATTTCATTTCAACGAATACATTGTTAGTTCCTACTATTTGCCTGGAATAAGAGGGGTTGAAATATACACAGTGTGAATTCTGCCCTCTAGGAGGTTATATTTTTATTTGGATGATAAGCCTTATTTGATGAAGCAAAGGAAAATATAAGACAGTAGAAGACTGACTTAGAGCCTTTGCATTTGCCAATCTTCCATGAATATTGTGCCCCCAGGTTGCCTCATATCTGGTTTGCCAAATTGCTAAATAATTAATATACAAAGTTTAGAGACTTTCCGATGTTTTCCAAAATGAAGCAATAACTCACGAAGGTATTGACTTTTACAGATACCCTAAAAAATATTTGTTCCAAAGGAATTATCAACATCTTCTACAGTTCTTTGATATAGAATACATAATTCAGAAGAACAGTGCCTGACATTCAAGGTCTCTGGTCTTCATCAGATATGTATCTTTTACCAGGTTCATCTTGCACCAATTTACTCTCCAAGAATCTTCCACCTGAGTCATACCAAATTCCTTGTCATTTCTCCAACATCCTAAGCAGCATCATACCTCCATGTCTTTGCCTTTAATGTTCAATTCAAATGGCACTGCCTTTACGAAGCCATCCATAATCTACCAATCCCTTTCTTCTCTATGTTGCTGTAGCACTTCCCACTCCCTTAATTACAGTACTTGCCACAATATACCCTGGTTTTTGGTTCACCTATCTGCCCTTCCACTAGTCAGTGAGGTCCTTGTGGACACATTCAGCAAATTTAACTAATGGTTTTGAGAACCTACTAAGTGCCAGATGCTATGCTAGGTGCTAGAGATGTAAAGATGGAATACACCTCCTATCCTCAAGGAACTTACAAGCTCATACTAAGGCAAGCATGCAAACAATTATTTGTCACATCTGCTCTATAAAAGTGTCACTTGTGGTACAGCAATAGAAGGAGGGAACAGAAGATCTAAGTCCAGCTAGGAGAAAGAGGGAAGATTTCACAAAAGCAGCTGGATTAGGAGGGGGGTCTCTAATCAATCAGGCAATTAATCAATTATTCTTTTAATAGGCAAGCATTCCAGGCGTATAGAAAAAGCATGACAGAGCATGATGTATGTAAGGATATAGTAATAGTTCAGTATTGCTGAAATGTAAAGTGAAAAACAGCAGAATGAAAAAACTTTCCAAGACTTTACAAATTCAACTCTTTCCTACTCTACTAGCAAGGACTTTGACATATAACAAAAGAACATGTGGATGTCATCACCACAGAGCAGATGAAGGTAAAGCAAACACCTGCCTATTTTTGCCAGCATGACAGCTTTCTATGTCTTCCTAGAAACTGTAACTATTTTTCCTTACAAAATTTCAATATTGCCGTGCCAGCAAAAGATGGGGCTCCCCATTAGGATCTCTGGAGTCATGATTTGCCTGATCTATAATGCTACACGTCTCTGATAATTATATGTTTGGAGATAGGAAAACATAATACTGAGTATAGAATGAGGGTACCAGTTCTAGGTCCTGCTTGGCCCTGACTCACAGGGCTTTCACTAGATGAGGGAAAGAGTCAGAAAATGAGGAAAACTATCAAAACAAAACAAAGCTTCTCCTGAGTATAAGAAAGCATGATCTTCCTAATTCTATCTTCACTGGAAACACAGTCCACAGAGTTCCTTGAAAGTAGCATCAGTCATTCTTACAGTGAGAAATACAAAGGGAAAATCAACTGTCCTTAGTAGAGTCTATCTACTCTGATATTAAGGAAGATAAAGATACTGCACCTTTGGTCCTCGAGACTTGGCAGTTTTGCCCATCAACTTTTCGTCATCAATTTCACATTGTTCCAGAAGATCCAAAATATCTTCCTCCTTAAAAAATATTTAATTAAAATTGTTATGACTAATGGACTCCAGAATTAATTAAAAGATTATTAATCTTGTGTACAACAAGGATTCCGAAAAGTATTTAACAAAGATTGCTCAGATCAAATGAGAAATAAAGGGTCATGGCAAACCCTCTTAAAGAAACTTTCACTAAAACCTGGCAATAAAAATAATACTTAGCTGAAATCTATTATGTATTGATTATCATAAACAAATATATCCTTATGTTCTAGTATACTATTAAAATCTTAGAATACAATACTTCAATAAATTAGCCTATTGGACACTTTAAAATTTCTAAAAGTTCACTCTAATTTTTCCAGACCGCAATTTCATCAATCATTGCTGTATCAATTAGTGCAAAATAATATTACAACTGCAGACAGAACACTGATGATTGGCCTAATAGTTTCATTTAGAACAATCTAATGTTAGTATTTAGGTAATAGGCACAATTTAATGAAACTTTAAAATTTTTACCTATTGCACACGAGTATCTTTAGAACTTTATGAAAGGTTTTCACTCTATAGGCCTAACACCTTTTCTCATGCTCTTCTAGAGTCACTTTGAAGTCAAAGGGTAAAGTTATAAAACATACACCCAAGTGGATGTTGAGCAAACCAGAGCAATAGGAGTACAACAGCTTTACTAAATGAGGTAGAGTTAACTGCTTTCATTGAGTTATTTATTCAACCTATACAAATATCACAACTTCATTTATATATTTATGATTTATATCTGTGCTTCTTTTTTTAAAAAAAGGGTTTTAGAGAAACTAGAAATCTCACTGTGCAATGGAAATCTGTAAAATAGGTTACTCTTCATCGCAATCTAAGATTTAGCTATTAAAATATCAAAAGACTCTTAATATAAAGTTTGATTAAACAATAACCCTACAAAGGATTCCAAAGACAGCAGCACAAGACAGTTAAAAAGTAAGGAGTTCTGCTTCTGTTCAGGAGAAGGAAGGTCATATAGACAGCATTTTCATCATAAGAGCTAAAAAAAGATGATAAACTAAATAATCATATATTTTAAGACATTAGAAAGCTGTGGATAAAAGTAGTGTAAAAGGAATTATACCAGAGAGGGAAAAGTTCTCCCTAGGTGAGCAGAGATAAGTGGCCACTTTCTACTTTACGTTCATTTGTCAGGTCTGGACACAGATGAGCAGAGATTAGGTCTATAATAGAGAGATTCTGTGGGGGTAAAGAGAATCCAGTGGAGTTTTCAAAGGTCACGTGGGCTACTGAGACATCTAGAAGAGCCCCACAGAGCTGGTTCTCTTCGCCTGCTGGGTCTTTCCAATAGCAATTTTAGTTGAGTATGTAGTAGAATAGGAGGATAGAGGCATGGATGGAAAACCAGAACTAGAGAGAAGCTCACGCACTGCAACAAAGAGCCCGCGCTGCAACGAAAGATCCCGCATACCTCAATGAAGACCCACGAGCTGCAACTAAGACCCACCGCAGCCAAAATAATTAATTAATTAAATATAAATAAATAAATAAAACTCTATAACCATCGCCTGTAGTGTACACATTATTTTCAAGTAGACTTGGACATTCACTAATATAAGTACCATATTGAGTTAAAGCAAGTCTCAATTTATTTTACAAGACTGAAATCAGAATATGTTTTCTAACACCAATGAACTAAGCTAGAAACTTTACCAAAACTAAAACTAGAACATTTTAAATGTATGGAAATTAAGCAACAAACTTCTAAGTAACCAAAATAAAAATAAAAAAATAATTTAAAATGCAGTTAGTAAAAATACAATATATAAAAATGCTAGATATAAGGGTAATATACAAAAATAATCAGGTGTTCACATCCTGGCAACAAGTTAAAAATTAAAAAAAATTACAAACAATATTATCAGCAACAGCAGCAAAAACATCAAATACTTAAAAATAAATTTAATGAAAGATGTGCAAAAACTATAAACTGAAAACTACGAATATAGCAGAGTTATTAAAGATCCAAGTAGATGGAGAGATATGTCATATTAATGGATCGGAAGACTCAGTATTGTTAATTCCCCAGAAATTGTTTTGTAGATTCCTCAGTCCAAATTAAAATCCCAGCAGCCTTTTTTTGTAATCAAAAAATTAATCAAAATCTAGAATCAAACTGATTCTAAAATGTGTATGAAAGCATAAAAGGACCTAGAAAAGCCAAAAGAGTTTTAAATAGAATAAATTTAAGGACTCACACTACCTAGTTTTGACACTCATTATAAAACAACAGTAGTAAAGACTGTGTGAGTGTTATATAAGAAGAGGCTCCCAGATCAATGGAAGGGGGCAGGCAAAGTGGTGACATTTAAACTAGATTTTGAAGAATCAAATTGAGACTTGAAGCCTATTTATTATGTGCCAAGGTACTTAAAACAGACTATTTTAATTAACCTCAATTTTAGTTTCATAACCTGTCAAGTATACTTTTAATACTACTATTTTAGTGATCTGATTGATCAAATAGTTTAATGTAAGTTTACAAAATTAACATGTGGGGGAGCTGGAATTTGAATGTAGGTCTATCTGGCTCCAGAATCCTTAGGATTTCTAGGAGCAGAGTGATGGGAAGATGGAACAGAGGCTGCATCCAGAGGAGAGAGAAATGACATTATAAAACAGGTAGAGGAAAATGAAAAGGTCTCTCACTGTCTGGGTCAGGAAAAACAAAAAGACCACAGAACATAATTCTAATGGTGAAAATACTTGCATATGTCAAAAGAGGGATATTTAAAGGAAAAGAGCATTGGGGTATACAATATTCCTTCTGCTTCTGTCCCTTAGGCCTAGCCAGATTGAAAATGGCTTTATATCCTCCTGTTGCAGAATTTTAGTGAAAAGACCATAGCAAAATCTATCTATAATAAACTTTATCATGATTTTTGAATCACTCAATATAACAGGGTATCCAAGATACTGGAGGTATCACTCTAGGGAGATTTCCAGTAATGTAAAATATAAACAATTTTAATAGGTCTGTGTGATGGAATGAAGAACACAAGGAAGAGTAAGTACGTGAGTAAATATGAATACTTAGAAAACTATTAAAGACCACTGACTGTTTAGACAACAAATAAAAACTTGTTTGTCCAATGGAACATTAGCAAGCATGATGCTAGCAGAGGCTTGATTAGTCGCTGCACTCTGGGCTTGTCCTCTTGAAATGCTCCATTTTGGAACCCTGAGCTATCGTATTAAGAGATCCAGTTACCCTCCTTACATGGTCATGTAGAGAGAAAGAGACACCCAGCCTGCTCTCCAGATGTTCCAGCTATCTCATCTGATACACCAGACACAGAAGTGAAGCCTTCTTGGATTTCCTTCCCCAGTTGAGTTGATAAATGCAAATATATGATTCACTCCAAGCTAGCTCAGCAGAAGAACCACTCAACTAAGCCCAGCCAAGACTGTGGAATAATGAGCAAATAAATGCAATGGCTTATTATACTGCAAAAGATAACTAACAGACCTTTTAGTAAGGCAAATAGATTACTCTGTGTGTGTGTTTCAATTACTTCTCATATGCCAGGTCTATGCAGTATCAGGAAAAAATTATTGTATAATGTTAGTTACAATCTAACTATGTAGCAATATAGTTACATAGTTAACTATATTGTTAACTATGTAACTCATATCTCATTCTCAAACAATGAGAACATCACAAACCACTAGGTTATTTCAATCTATTCTTTTATTCAGTTATGTATAAATAACTGTAATAAAACATTTATTAAAATAGATTACAACATAATATCAACATTTTCTACTGCTTAACTTGTCTTGTTAAAAAACATCTTATTTATGAAATCATTTGGTTGGTTATGAAACATTACCAACTGTTAAAATGGAAGGAAAGTGCATCTTAAAAGTAAAATGTTTTTATGTGTGGAATTAAGATGGGTTGTTTATAAAGACATATTGTGTGGCTTCATTCTTTTTTTTCTTTATAAACATTCATTCCTTTACCTTCATCCTTTTCAAAGGATTATTCATCTCTCGCTGGAATGAAGCTGCTCTTCCTGAAAGGAAGGTCTGAAAGGCAACAGCCAACAAATTTTCATACTTTTCAAGTAGTGTTTTATCTTCAGGAGGATAAATTCGCCTACAATAAAATCAGATAAACCAGCTTGTTTTAAAAAAGCTATCATAGCACAAGAGTTAAGGTCAACTACATAGATAATTCTTGACCATCTACTCTGTCAGTCACTTTACTAGGTGCTAGAAATAAAGGTGAATATAGTTACAAGAAATCCATAAATTTTCATTTGTTACCAATACAAATTGAAGTTTATCTAGAAAATTATCATTAAACAATGCAGTTCCAGAAGGCACAGTATAAAGGTTTGGTCAAGGGGAGGTGGTTGAAGAAGAATCACAATTGGGCATATTGAGAAATATAGAACTTTACTGGAGAGAATTTAGGTGATGAGGGATAATTTGAGAAGTTTTAGACTCAGTGTGATTATTGATGTATACAAGAATGTAGGGATTAATCCTAATGATCTTTTGAAGGGTGGTGGAATTTGTCTCTCTGGTGGAGAGCATTAGGTAGATGTAGGGTGAGAGGAATGTGTTCTCATCATCACTGTTGATAGTGTTAAGGCCGGAAAGAACATCTTACCAGGAGTGCGGGAAGCTCTATGATGTCAAATCCTCCTAATTCTGCTGAGTCAGTATCAAAGCTTGGGAGGAGGGGCTGTCTTTCCAAGAACACAAAGAGCTTAGGGGATCCCCTTTTCTCCTGTCAAAGGTGATACTGTGGAGGAGGTCCAGTTCTGTACAGTCCAAACCCCTTTCTATTGTCTCATACCTGCCTCCTCCAAACATTTTCATTATTTGCCTGGTTCCTGATACATTTGAACTTAAAACAAAGTACAGGGGCTTCCCTGGTGGGGCAGTGGTTTACCGTCCACCTGCCGACACAGGGGACGTGGGTTCGTGCCCCGGTCCGGGAAGATCCCACATGCCGCGGAGCACCTGGGCCCGTGAGCCATGGCCGCTGAGCCTGCATGTCCGGAGCCTGTGCTCCGCAACGGGAGAGGCCACAATAGTGAGAGGCCCGTGTACCGCAAAAAAAAAAATAGTAATAAATAAATAAAAGTAAAACAAAGTACAGCAACCACTCTGAACTGACAGAAAGAATACTAAGAGACCTGAAACCTGACTTTTTCAAAATAGTGTATTATAATTAAATAAGGTCATATGATTACATCAGCCTGAAAAGACTTCACACAAACCACCCCAGGAGCTCTCTCCAAGTCTGAACCATCTACTTGCTAACTATCTTTTCTTTCTGGAAATAAATTAAACAAAAAGCACTTTCTCAGAATGAAATAAACAGCGCTTAAGATAAGCTTAAAAGTTAAAAAATGCAGGCACTTCTGTTTTGACACTTCACTTCTTCAATCTATTAAAAAACAAAAGCACAGTTACCTGTAATTCCCCATGTGTCGATTTTCATGTTCTTCTTTCAAGATCTGCTTCCGTACCTGAGCAAGTCTCTCCTTCTAGAAATGAAGAAATTTTACAAATAAAACCTGACAAATGAATTATGCTATTCAAATTGCAGGTACATTGTTAAATTTTTCATACCAACTCTTCTTTCCGCCTCTCCAACTGATGTCTCTGCTGTTCTGAGTCTGAGGAACCCGGTAAAAGCCTTTTGATTGAATTTTGACCATAAAGCCTCCTTTGAGCCTCAGCTTTTTGTTTAGCCAAGTTTCTCCTTTTATCACTGGTCCTAAAATATAGAACACAAGACCATATTCAAGAATTCAAATAAGCTCTAACCTTATCCCTGTGAGAATCAGCAGAAGAGGGGACCCAGTGGAGATAAGAATCAGTTTTTATTAAATTTATATATTCACATATGTTATATTCACCTAGTCATTCATCAAATATGGATCTCCATACAGTAAATAGACGTTCTGAAGGTAACAAGATAAAATGGAGACAGTATAGCAACTTACTAGCAATACAACCTTAGGTCAATTAACTGCAGGGTCTGTTTTCCCATCCATTAAATGCTAACAATATCATTTCCCTCCTAGAGTTCTTATAAAGATTAACTTGGGGTAACATTAATAGGTCCTTAATAAATGTTGTTTCCTTACTCTTCCTTCAACCAATGCCCTTTATATTTAAGCATTCTTACTTATACTGACCACCCTTCAGCATATTTTCAATTCAGATTGAAATCTCAGCCTAACAATCATTGCTGAATTGAAAGCATCTGCATAGTCCTTCTCATTTTTGCCCAATGATGCAAATTTACTCATAGCAGTCTGATTTTTATTGGAAAATTCCTGTTGTAAGAGTGCTTTCCTCTGAACTTGTTTTCTCTCTCTTCCCTCCCATGTAGCTGGTACGATCAGATAAGCCTGAGGTCTCTTCTCTCTCCCTCTGACTTACACTATTATATACCAATCTTAAAGATCTAGCAGGAACAGGGTGGACTCTAGAGAAAAAAGAAAAGGCAAAGCCAATTTTTCCCTCAGCCATAGGAAAAAATAGAGTTCTTATTCTTGAGCTTATATTTCCATGCCTTGCAATGTCATTAGTCTGGTAGGGCCCAGATGAAGGTGTAAAGCAAAGGAAAGAGTACAAGGAGGCCATCTGGCCAGCTTCTAGTGTGGAGAGGTAAAAGACACACCTAAGTTTACAGGAGGTCCCATTCTATTCAATAAGGGATTGCACTGAAAATACTGGGCCAAGGCCCTAGATAATAGAGTGTTCTTTTGCCTCAAGTATGCACCACCTCACAACTTGAACTTGCAAGGGTGTTAGGAAACTGATCTATTATCTTTCAAAACAACATTACGGTTTGAGTGGCAGGAGTTCAACAAGTGAACAGGATAGAAGGAATAATTTGAGAAAAGGAATAAACACGTCCAGAAAATTGTAAGTCATTTAGTATGTCTGGAGCTATCAGTGAATGCAGGAAACTCAGCTAATTAAAGCCTTCTAGCTTTAATACTAGGTTACTGACTCTCAAATTGAACTTTAGGCAATGGGGGAGAGGAGAGAGTGAGTTTTAAAAGGAGAAGGGAATAATTATATTTGCAGGTTTTAAACGTTATGCCTTGGCAGCAGAAGCAAGAAGAACCACAATCCTGCAGTCTGTGGAATGAAAACCACATTCACAGAAAGATAGACAAAAAGAAAAGGCAGAGGACTATGTACCAGATGAAGGAACAAGATAAAACCCCAGAAAAATAACCATATGAAGTGGAGATAGGCAATCTTCCAGGAAAAGAATTCAGAATAATGATAGTGAAGATGATGCAGGACCTTGGAAAAAGAATGGAGGCAAAGATCGAGAAGAGGAAAGAAATGTTCAACAAAGACCTAGAAGAAGTAAAGAACAAACACCTAGAAGAATTAAAGAACAAACAAACAGAGATGAACAATACAATAAATGAAATGAAAAATACACTACAAGGAATCAATAGCAGAATAACTGAGGCCGAAGAATGGATAAGTGACCTGGAAGCCAGAATGGTGGAATTCACTGCTGTGGAACAGAATAAAGAAACAAGAATTAAAAGAAATGAAGACAGCCGAAGAGACCTCTGGGACAACATTAAAAACACCAACATTCACATTAGAGGGGTCTCAGAAGGAGAAGAGAGAGGGAAAGGACCCAAGAAAATACTGGCAGAGATTATAGTCGAAAACTTCCTAACATGGGAAAGGAAATAGCCACCCAGGTCCAGGAAGTGCAGAGAATCCCAGGCAGGATAACCCCAAGGAGAAACACACTGAGACAAAGAGTAAGCAAATTGACAAAAATTAAAGACAAAGAAAAATTATTAAAAGTAACAAGGGAAAAATGACAAAAAACATACCACGGAACTCCCATAAGGTTAAGAGCTGATTTCTCAGCAGAAACTCTACAAGCCAGAAGGGAGTGGCATGATATATTTAAAGTGATGAAAGGGAAGAACCTAAAACCAAGATTACTCTACCCGGTGACGATCTCGTTCAGATTCAATGGAGAAATCAAAAGCTTTACAGACAAGCAAAAGCTAAGAGAATTCAGCACCACCAAACCAGCTCTACAACAAATGCTAAAGGAACTTCTCTAAGTGGGAAACACAAGAGAAGAGAAGGACCTACAAAAATAAACCCAAAACAATTAAGAATATGGTCACAGGAACATACATATCGATAATTACCTTAAATGTGAATGGATTAAATGCTCCAACCAAAAGACACAGGCTCACTGAATGGTTATAAAAACAAGACCCATATATATGCTGTCTACAAGAGACCCACTTCAGACCTAGGAACACATACAGACTGAAAGTGAGGGGATAGAAAAAGATACTCCATGAAAATGGAAATCAAAAGAAAGCTGGAGCAGCAATACTCATATCAGATAAAATAGATTTTAAAACAAAGAATGTTACAAGAGACAAGGAAGGATACTACATAATGATCAAGGGATCAATCCAAGAAGAAGATATAATAATTATAAATATATATGCACCCAACGTAGGAGCACCTCGATACATAAGGCAACTGCTAACAGCTATAAAAGAGGAAATCGACAGTAAAACAGTAATAGTGGGGGACTTGAACACGTCACCTTATCATCCAGACAGAAAATTAATAAGGAAACACAAGCTTTAAATGAAACAATAGACCAGATAGATTTGATATTTATAGGACATTCCATCCAAAAACAGCAGACTACACTTTTGTCCCAAGTGTACATGGAATATTGTCCAAGATAGATCACATATTGGGTCACAAATCAAGCCTCAGTAAATTTAAGAAAAATTGAAATCATATCAAGCATCTTTTCTGACCACAATGCTATGAGATTAGAAATAAATTACAGGGGAAAAAAAACGTAAAAAACACAAACACCTGGAGGCTACACAATATGTTACTAAATAACCAAGAGATCACTGAAGAAATCAAAGAGGAAATCAAAAAATACCTAGAAACAAATGACAATGGAGACACAACAACCCAAACCTATGGGATGCAGGAAAAGCAGTCCTAAGAGGGAAGTTTATAGCAATACAATTCTAACTCAGGAAACAAGAAAAATCTCAAATAAACTATCTAACCTTACACCTAAAGGAACGAAAGAAGAACAAATAAAACCCAAAGTTAGTAGAAGGAAAGAAATCATAAAGATCAGAGAAGAAAACACGAAATAGAAACAAAGAAAACAATAGCAAAGATCAATAAAACTAAAAGCTGGTTCTTTGAGAAGATAAACAAACTGATAAACCTTTAGCCAGACTTATTAAGAAAAAGAGGGAGAGGACTCAAATCAATAGGATTAGAAATGAAAAAAGAGAAGTTACAACAGACACCACGGAAAAACAAAGCATCATAAGAGACTACTACAAGCAACTCTTCGCCAATAAAATGGACAACCTGGAAGAAATGGACAAATTCTTAGAAAAGCACAACCTTTGAAAATGAACCAGGTAGAAAGGGAAAATATGAACAGACCAATCACAAGCACTGAAATTGAAACTGTGATTAAAAATCTTCCAACAAACAAAAGTCCAAGACCAGACGGCTTCACAGGTGAATTCTATCAAACATTTAGAGAAGAGCTGACACCCATCCTTCTCAAACTCTTCCAAAAAACTGCAGAGGATGGAACACTCCCAAACTCATTCTATGAGGCCACCATCACCCTGATACCAAAACCAGACAAAGATACCACAAAAAAAGAAAATTACAGACCAATATCACTGATGAAAATAGATGCAAAAATCCTCAACAAAATACTAGCAATCAGAATCCAACAGCACATTAAAAGGACCATACACCATAAGCAAGTGGGATTTATCCCAGGGATGCAAGGATTCTTCAATATATGCAAATTAATCAATGTGATACACCATATTAAAAAACGGAAGAATAAAAACCCTATGATAATCTCAACAGATGCAGAAAAAGCTTTTGACAAAATTCATCACCCATTTATGGTAAAAACTCTCCAGAAAGTGGGTATAGAGGGAAACTACCTCAACATTATAAAGGCCATATTCTTGGATTGGAAGAATCATTATTGTGAAACTGACTATGCTACACAAAGCAATCTACAGATTCAATACAATCCCTATCAAATTACCCATGGCACTTTTTACAGGACTAGAACAAAAATGTCTTACAATTTGTATGGAGATGCAACAGACCCTGAAGAGCCAAAGCAACCTTGAGGGAAAAAAACAGAGCTGGAGGAATCAGACTCCCTGACTTCAGACTATACTACAAAACTACAGTAATCAAGACAATATGGTACTGACACAAAAAGAGAAATATAGATCAATGAAACAGGATAGAAAGCCCAGAGATAAACCCACGCACCTATGGTCAACTAATCTATGACAAAGGAGCCAAAGATATACAATGGAGAAAAGACAGTCTCTTTAATAAATCATGCTGAGAAAACAGGACAGCTACATGTAAAAGAATGATATCAGAACACTCCCTGACACCATCCACAAAAATAAACTCAAAATGGATTAAAGACCTAACTGTAAGACTGGACACTACAAAACTCTTAGAGGAAAACATAGGCAGAACACTATGACATAAATCACAGCAAGATCCTTTTTGACCCACCTCCTAGAGAAATGGAAATAATAACAAAAATAAACAAATGGGACCTAATGAAACTTAAAAGCTTTTGCACAGCAAAGGAAACCATAAACAAGACAAAAAGACAACCTTCAGAATGGGAGAAGATATTTGCAAATGAATCAG